AATGTCAAATACATTCTTGAGGTTTCTTTCAGGAATTAAAACTTTGGCAATCTCCATTTGCCAATAGCAGGTTAAACTATGGCAGTGAAAACTGGATAATCAAATAACCCACAACACTGTTACTGTTCTAAATAAACGTACGTGAGAGGCTTACTGAGTTACATTTTGCTGGGTTGTAACCAGGCGTGTTTTAGACTATACTTCTTTACAGTATTTGTGGTGTATTTTACTCTTTACAGTCAGTGATTAGATTTAGCCTAAATATTTAGCGATGAGTTTTACATTTAATGTGCATTTTGAATTAATTATGTGAAATTCTACTATGATACAAATTAATACTAATTCCGAATAGATATTAATAGTTACTAACCCTGTATTACAAATTGAATTGTTTTATTCTTTTATTTCAAAATTACTTAAAGTATGTCAGCATGACTGATTGCATGTGTATAAATCTAGTGTTATTATGGGGTTTATTAGCATTATAGATAAATAATTGCAACAATTTACCTTTTGATGTAATTATTTTCAATATATTTATTAACTCACCTCAATGTTACAAAATAGCTATCACCATTTATGTTAAAACCTGATAAATAACAATTAAACCCCCCTCAAGATTAAAGTGGTTGTTTTGGTGTTGTATTTAAGTTGTTTAACATTTAATGTCTGTAATAATTATTCACTGTAAAAATATGATTATAAAGGCAAACAGTTTAACAACTTAAAACCAAATTCTATGCTAGTTAACTGAGTTATGCAAGTAAAAAGTGCTAAACTGAGGACATTAACTCTAATATTATTGAGGAATTTTTCAAATTTGTGGAAGGAAGGCAAAACGTTTGCTGCATCTTAATTTTACTGTGTTTTTTTTTTTAAATAAGGTCATAATCATTTATTTTATCGTTGAAATTAAAAAATAAATATGTTGTTTAATGATTTTGTTTTATGTATGGCTGATAATATAATAGTTTATTGACCAAAGAAATATTGAACGTTATTATTCATCCAAGTTTGTTTTTATTTCAACAAGCTTTTGAAAAAACCGATACAAAATCTGACTATTTATTTTCCGGTTAGTTGAACAACTAACTTCCATTTCTTAAGTTTAGTGACATTGTTTATTATTTTGTCTTTTCAAATTATCACAAACAATTTAATGTATAAATGGTAGAAATGTAGGGCCACGGTCTGTATTCATCATCAGCCCACATTTCCCTTTAATACTACATTTTGTGGACTGTGAACCAGCCCTAAATATAGTGTTTTTATTATGAGTTTTAAAATTTTATTCAGTTATATACATTTTTGTGTCTTGACATTTTAACATTTTGCATAGTCACGTAAATATAGCAAAAATATTTCTTTACATCGTAAAAAATATTTAATGAGGTAAATATACATTTCAGGATAAACTTTGTTTGTCTCCTGCTTTTTTACATTTTTCAGAAGTTATGAACTCTTAATTTTTACTGAGGGTTGTATTCCAATTTACATAACCATTATTGACATAAATACACGTATTCATTGGATTATTTAGGTTTTTAGAGACGTAGTTGCTCGTTTATTTATATTAGGTTGCTCACCACGAAACCTACGGCAATAGGTTCTCTTAATTGGAAAATCGCTTTCTCCAAAACGTAAGCAAAACAATAGTTAGTAATTTAATCGTCCCACAAACCTTAAATCACCTCAATATTCATTATTGTTAATATGTGAAAGAACATGGTATAAAAATGTTCGTAACAAAGTTTTATATTATACAGGACCCCAACTTTCCTATCCAAAATCGATAATGATCGGTTATGGGTAAGGCATCAATCGCTCCACATTTTGGAGCTTCTGTACTAGACACTCCCTTTTACATAATGGTACAAATCAACTATATTATATGCGGGTTCGAAAGCAGTATAAATTTATATACAAGAGTGCAAACTAATAAACTAGTTGCGAAATTGTCGATGGCGATAATAGGATAACATTGTTGGGGTTTCAAGCAATTTATAAGAGTCTTTTGCAACCAAACCGATCGAAAATCCAACGCTTTTTTAAACAATTCACAGTATTTTATTTATATGGGTAAACGAACCATATACAAAGATCCTAATCACTCAATAAGGTTCAATCCATTAAAGATTGATAGAACAGATAAAACCAAATTAACACATCAACTTTAATCAAATCTACAACATTACAACCACTCATTAGCTAATGTCTGAGTATACGTGGTAAAAAATGATAAATCTCATAGTTCAATAAATGAAATAAGTTTTAACCATTTATAGTTATAAAAGTTGGCTCATTAGTAGAGCACTCAGAACTGCAATATCGGTGAAAAGTTGGTTTTCAAGTTGGAGCTACTTTCCACCTCACCGTTACCAGTGAACATTCCTTCTATGTAACATATTGTGCCGAGCTATCTCTGAGTATATCATTTACTTGGGCCTCATTGATTATGATCAATAACTACTGTAAAATTAGCGTGATTGCGTAGTCCGATTTATAAGTGTTTGTTACAAATATTTGCTTAATCTGTGTCGCCGAACCTGACGTATACATTGTAATCACACATTGTAAATTGTAATGTTTTATCAATTATATTGTAAATTTATTTTTTTATTTTTTATTCGGTACTTCGATAAAACATCACCTGTAACTGTTTAATGAGTGTGGTTATGAGTTTCAATTATTTGGGAAGAATAAAAAAATATTTTGAAAACAGAGACTCTATTAAACAAAGTATTACAAGGCTATAGATTACAAAGTATAGACTACCTTAGATGTTTGCTTGAATTTACTGAATACTTTAATACTTTTAAGAAAAGTTGGGTTTAATTTAAGTTCAGTTAGTTTAATTTAAGTTTACTTTCAGAATTTTGATTTTTTACAAGAATAACTACAACAATAACAATCAAAAGAGCATAATTAGTATATATTTTTTTTTATTTTCGGATTTTTACATGTTTTTACCACACGGAACAATGAATATGGATATCAAAATATGGATATATTAATATAACACTTCATAACCAGTGATGTTACAAAAAGGCCAATATTTTAGATCAAAATATGTTTGATCTATACTTTGATCAAAACTAGTTTACAATTCTTTTACAAAATAAAATTACTAGTAGTGGTTAATCTACAGGGTTTATTTTTGTGATATTCCATGTCATAGATGTAATATTTGCGTATAATTGTAAGCCTATCTTTCGGTACTGTATATACTACAATAATCGTTAGCTATTGTTAAAAGCTAGCCTCCCATGGTTTGTAAGAGGCATTTTTCAGTTGCAAAGTTTTACGTCAGATAAAACGGCAGGACAGATTATTTGATACTCTTGTTTGTTTTCTTTTCACGTTCACGTCCAAAATAAAACGGCCATGTTTCTGTTTACAGCTTACCTAGAATGATCTTTCTGGTTATTCCACGTCCGTACATTTTTAATGAGAAGTTTTAAATACAAATTAGGTTTTTATCTACTCTTATTAAGACTATCATTCATCAAATAAATTATTGTGGTTTCCGAAAAATCAGTAGGGGATATCATGTTTATCTCATTTATAGATTAAACACCAAACTATTAAAATGGTTTGAAAACCCCATTTAAAGAACATAAGATACACCGAGTATTTAGTTTAAATTTAACTTGCAACAATATAACACGGCCTGCATAATTGTCCGTGGTACTTTTCCAAATTCACCTACCATTTAAAATCTAGTACAAAGAGAAAACTCAATTTATATATTAAATTACACCGCTATTCACCTAAATCTCTTAAAAGATCAAAAATTTGGCTTGAGTGATCCGTCATATCACTGCAACTTGAGACATTGAATTTCAAATGTAATGCATAAATGTAAAGGGTGGGATTGTTTGTTGTAGGAAATACCGAGACTAGTCCTAAGTAAACATTTCACTATAAGTCTAACACAGATCATAGTTTGAAATGTAATATTCACGAGACCTTGTTTATTTACGTATATTCCAAATGTTTGGTTCCCTTTATCGTCAGTGAAGGCAGAGTATATTTTTTATTATATAAACTATATATACCAGATACTATTTTACAAGCAATTCAAAATTAAAGAACTTAAATGTGTCACTATTGGATTACAAGGTTATAATTAATTAATAAATAATAACTCACGATAAGAAATCATACAAATGATAGACTTTACTAAACAGTAAAGATTTGCACCCTTAAAACTCATAAATCTTCTAAAACAATTAAATTATTACAAGGAATGAACAAAACTTATTTAAACAATAACTCACAAAAAATAAGTATATCTACCCCAAAACCGCAAAAACGTTCCAAAGCATTTAAGAAATAAATACAACATTGTTATAGAAATTCAATGTAATCAGCAGACTAATTAGCTCGTTTAACAAAGCTAATAAACTACAATGTCAATCAATTGAAAGCGTTATATTCAATTTTCCTCTACAATGAGTAAAGAGACACACAGCGCAAATGTTATTCTTCGGCTCTGATATTGTTCAACAATTATTCAGCCAAACATCAGTTTAATTAAAGCCATCTCACACTGACTCCCTGATTAATATCCTTGCCTTGCCTCAAGACTAACACATCCAGTTGAAAATTGCTGCAACATTTTAAACAATGCACTTTTGTTTGTTTAAAAGTCTTATTGAAAACTAATTATCAGATCGTTCCTGTTATGTTGAATAGTCGCATTAATTCGTATAGAAACAAAGCAAATATGGTACATGAACAGAGCATTTCGTCTTTCATTTGAATTTGTTAACTGATATTAACTAAATGTATTTGAATCATCGTAAACAATAAGTAAATATAAATACTTGACTTAAGAATAAAATAATCGTTGACGTACGGTACTCATTATTGAGTGGAGCGAGCAAAGCGAGTGACGACGTATTAAATATTTTCAAATTTAATACGTCAACTCTTATGCATTTTGTAATACGCAAAACTCCTCCTAGACGGCTGAAGCAATCATTTTCAAATTTTGCATGGCGATAAAGACCACATCGGTGAGTGCCAACATCTATATGGTGTTAAAACATTTTTTAAGAAATCTGCCCTACAGGCTCTCAAAATCTCAATGTAATCCTTATGGAAGCAGTATTTGACACAAAACCAAAGGTTTATTATAGATCAGCTGTTGACTTAAAGGAATGGCTTAGAACTGTTATCACGAATATTAGAACAGAAACTGTACGGATCATAAACACATACAAATTATGTCACTAGCGCGAACCAATAATAACATAAAGGTATGGTTTTTGACAGTGTAGTTTGAAAATAATACTACAAACATGTTTGCTTTCGGGTTTTACGCCATTTTCAGGTTCGGTAGTGACATCATTTGTTTATTATCAACACCGCTTCTGTTCTAATATTCGTACTGCGTGATTAATTTTTGGTTTTGGTTGACCAGGTGTATTTATACAAGTGTTACATTAGTTTTATCTTGCAAACTAAACATTATGGCTGCAGACAAAATAGTCAGTAGTTATAAATTAGATTGTAAATACAACGGAATCAACCTAAGGCGATGGCAGTGTTCTCGTATTCACTATTTTGCTGCTTCTAATGTCAATGGCCAAACATTTCACTCAGTATTAAAATTGAATATATGATTTTTATGATATAGCCTCTGGATCACTGATTTTTACAATAAAAGGTTTAAATTACCTGTATCCGTCAAGTAATCCTGGTTTGTAGTTAATTGACTACAGCCGTTTTGTGTTGTAAAACACATCTTCAGGTCAAACGTACATTGATTTAATCCATGGAATAAAACCTTTTCCATGGATTTAAACCTTTTGACGACCATTCCATGGATTAAATCAATGTACGTTTGACCTGAAGATGTGTTTTTACAACACGAAACGGATATAGTCAATTAACTACAAACCAGGATCACTTGACGGATAAAGGTAATTTAAACCTTTTATTGTGAATATATGAAATTTTAATTAACTACAGGTGGGAAATAAACTAAATCTCCATATTTTGTTCAAAAACGTCTGTGTCGTAGTTTGCGATGAAATAGTCTATGTGTGGGCAGAGACAATGATCGGCAAACGCTTACCCTACATCAAGCGAAACCAGACAACCAAGATGTTATAGGCATCAGTGTTTGGTGATCTTATTTTATATCTTTGTTGCGATATTTCTCATGCTACTACCTACTACCTACTACTATTACTGTTATAAAGATTTCTTTTTGTTTTAGCTTGAAATGTTCACATTCGTTAAAATTAATTGATCAATCAATAAAAATTTACTCTATAAAATCTTTTGTCTGTTTGAAATTGTAAGTTAAAATAATTTTAAAGCTTTATGGTGAAGGTCAATGGCATTATAATGCCCTGAAGACACCACTCAATTTTGTGGAAGCGCCTGGTATGTCACTCACACGTATGCGAAATAGTTTTTTGTCGTGGGTTGAAAACTCCCTTAAACGTACTACTTTGTTTAGACAAAACACACAAATTTAGCTTGGAGCAAATCTATAAAGCCTATTGTATAAAAACGTTACCATCAGAGTAATCAGACATTCTGTATAATACCTACAATGAATTAGATGAAGATTCATATCAAGCTCATTTTGTACTTTACCTATTCATTCTATAGAATGCCGTTGGCACTACAGATAAAGTTTGAAATAGTTTTAGGACTTTTTAGACTTCTGATTCCTTTATAGGCAAAAGCCAATCAAATCTAAAATAAACTAACCTAACCTAACCTTACATATTCATACACGAAATATTTCGATATTGTAAAGAAAACATTTTTTTTTTTACAAATATCTTTATTTTAAACTTTTTCTGACAACCATGTGAGCATTATATAGCTATTTTATAGGAGCCAATACGTATTTTATGAAAAGAGTCATTTAATTTATCAGATACATTTACTGAAATGTATTTTTTACATCAGGAAATCTCACGGAGCTAAAAGTACACTGCTTGCCCTAATTTTCCTGCCCTCCACATACAAGGGGTGCTAACACATAAAAACTGTCATTATCTAACTTATTGCTTCCTCAGAAAAAGTGACACAGTTTTTGTCGCATTACTCATCCGGGACGCTGTGGAAGGTTATGAGAAAAGTTTGTGGGTTTCAGATCAAATTAGATTGTTTTTGCCTGTTAAACAAACTTTGTTACAGATTAAAATGAGCTGCTTTTACCATACACGCAATTAATGCCTTGTAATTTTGGCAAAATCAATTCAATTTAACGTATGTAGAGTAATGATATAATTTATGAACCTTAATTTCACCAAAACTTATAATATTTGTTTGAACTTTATATTATTTTGAATAGTCTAGCTTTTTGATATTTATATCATTAAAGATATTTGATATTTACATCTACTTTATATTCGGACCGTGGGCGCGAGATGGTCTAGTTTTTGCAATTCCGTCAATCACAAATGAATTTTGTCTAAGTGATAATGCCACGACCCTGTAGACCTAACCTGAGGTAATGAGGATAACAATTCATGCTAGAACCTAGAGGAATAAAAAATATTTACCTAAATCAAGGTGCCATCCAGTTCCTTACTTGATAATTTCTCAACATACTCGTTTTCATAATGGTCTTTAGACGTATCTGTACGTTTATGAGCATTAATTTTGATTCAAACGTCAATATATAGGACAGCATGGTTAAACCGAAAAGGCAAGTATTAAAAAAAATTTTTAATGTCTGAACTAACATTTCCAGTTTCATAGTCAGACACACTTAACAATAAATAACTATCATATCAAAATTTTAAGTGCATGGGTTTTCATTTTGGGTTTTCTATAATTAATTTAGAAATTACTTTAATAACACATAAATCTTGTTGTACCCCTATCACAATTATTAATATTACAACACTTTTAGTACCAAAAGATCAAAAACAATATATTTAAAATGTTTTTTAACTTGCCAAAAAATAGTAGGAAAATGTAACAAATGATATAACATATTAATCATCGATTGTAGCTTTGATTGAAGTGGTATTAACAATCCTCACTTAAAGATAGTTATATAACGCAAAGTTCTTGCTATTAATAATATAAATATAAATTTCCGCTCTGTTCAACTCTGTACATTATTAAACACCCTTCCCCCCTCACCTGAGTTGAGTTAGTTGGTTCTTAGCTTGAGGGAGTCTTCAATTAACAGCTACCATCAATTTCCTCTCAGTCAACATTATGAGAACTATTTTCTTTTCTTTCAGCTGTTATAAAATGATGAAACATGAATGGAAAGGTGTTATGAGCTTTTTAAAAAGATATAGTTATAGTAAAGATTAACCAATAATTATAATAATTGAAAAATAGATACGAATACGTTTCACTAGTTGAAAAAAGTAAACCATTGCTTAGAGGTACATTTCGTTGCTAAACAAAGAGTATAGCCATTGGCTTTAATTAGTGTTATATAGTCAACGGTATAACTGGTTTTATATCAAGAGTCTTATTATGTAATAGGATTGCATCATTGTTAACTGTATAAATATAGTAAGACAAAATTTCCCACAGTGGCTATTATCAGATAAAATAACAATTTTATTAGTTATCAAGTTTCTTAATACGATCAAGTGTTTTCATATTTTTCAGTCTGTATACATATCATTGCACAGATTTGGGGCTAACTAATCCAATATCCTATAACAGTAAACAGCCTCGGTAACGTGTATATGAGACTAGTTAACTGCGAGAGTGGAAGTATAGTTTATTGGCATATGAAACGAAAGCTGTGCAAATTTATTCAGTTTGCAATGTTAAATTTAGTTTTAAGATTGAGTAATAAACTATTTTATTTATTTATTCCATTTGCGGATAGAAAAAAGTACGTTGTTACTAGTTTAGCTAGTCTCTAAACATGACAAACGACTGATTATCACGTTTATTCAGCCTCCAGTAAACAGAGTTGGCGCCTCTTTTGCAGACGTCTCCGGTCTAAGTAATGTATTTTCGTGATTTGTTGACTCGGAAACTTTGCTACTGTATCTTCCATCGATGTATGTTACAAAGACGAAACATAAAATCTAAAGAACATTTTGCTGTATTCCTTTTGGTTTGTGAGTGTAAAACTGTTTTTTTTCATACAAACTAAGTGTTTATTATAATAGCAATCTAAAATGTAAGCCAACCCTAGTCAAAATGACTTGGTAAAAAATATAAGATGCACAATCATGAAAAACTTACGATTATATTATAGATATCTAACTAGGCCCACTTTTCTCTAAAGTGGCTCTTGTCGACACTAGCTCTATTTAACCGTATGAGAACAATCCAAAGACGGATTTTGCCGACGTAAATAAACAAATATTTTAATTTTTTTTCAACTGTTTCATTTTTAACAACCAAAACTGTACAACCAAAGTACATATTAACATTAAATTGAAAGAATACCTGAAAAAAATATGAGTTTTGTTATGTTCCTAACTATAATAAATAAAAGTCTGCTTTAATTCAGAAAATAATTCGTCTTTGTAGTGTAGAGAAAAGTAACGTTCAAAACACTAATGAAAGTAAGTCTATACATATTCTTGACCATATAAAGTGCTTGATAAATCTCGCACTTCAAACATTGCCTCGAATATATAATGACAAACTTTCTACTCTTGTTATTAAATATAATACTACGTCATTAGCTCTCAACATGTTTTCACCTTATTATGCAATATAAACACAAGGTCCTGTTACCATTATTTAGATTCAACATAAACTACACCGTCAACTCGGTAACACATTCTAATAACTATTTTAAAATCGTATGAATTTCAAAATTGTGTTTCAATTGCATTACATAATGAACAAAGTTAATAAACCCAAAAAAAGAGTCGTAGTAGATAATCGGGATTATTTTATTCGGCAACCTCAGCGGACTATTTTTTTGTGGAAAACATGTTTGACTGACGTCATCGGCTGATTACAATGAAAATAGTCCAAATTCATAGTTGCATCGTTATCAAAATGTTTTGTGTTGTTTATTATCATGTATCGTTGTATGGTTAGCTACGCT